AAAAATAACACACTTACTAACAGATGAGGGTGTGTCCAAACAAAGAAGAACATTTCCTTTTCCCCGGGGGGCTAAGGGAGTGTTTGGGGTGGCAGGTGTGGGAGAAGAAAACCGCATAGTAAAACTGATATTTTTTTTAGCGTCTTTAGCATCTAACGCCAAGAACAACACAGCAAGTAAAACTCCAAAACCCCAAGAGTTCTGAGACTCCTTGAGCCTCTTGGTCTAGCCTACTCCGAACACGAGATGCCTCTGATCATCCTCAACAGAGCGTCCTTGATCTCGAATACATCCAGCAGGAGACAACCCACCACTTTGCAGGAAGCTCTTCTGGGAGCTGCATCCCTGAAATTTCTAACCATCGGGCCACCTGTTATGCTGTTATTATCAAAGACAGCGGAGAGGCAGTGCAGGGTTTTGTGTAAGGGATCCCGAGGCAGCCCACCGGGCTTTGACACCCCACCCCTACCACTTGGTCGCTAGGTTACCTTAGGGTTTCCATTTCTGCAGCTACTAAGCAAAAGGGAGATAAATAGTCATAATAACTCATACGGTTTTTGTAAGTATTCAATGATATTATTCAAATAGAGCCCTTAAAATGGAACCTGGCACAGAGCAAGCACCCAATAAATGTGACCTGCGTTGAGGAGACTGTACCCTCTCCAGGGGAAGTTATCTCCATTTCCATCAACCGTGCCGTATATCACGCAATTCTAGAAACAGCTCCCCTGTTAGAAGCTGCCCAATTACAGCGAGATGCACAGACATGGATTTAATATTCTGAGGTGGGATAACATGCGCCCAGTTCACCGGGAACAGCAGCTGCCCCAACCCAGAGAATTTTATCAGTGCTGTCTGCGATCTCCTTGGCTTTTTACCTGCTGAACCACATCGCCGGTCGGCATCAGTCTTAGAGATGCCTAAACCCACCAGGTCTTCTTCCTAAAACCTACTGTCAAACCAAGCCTTTCCAAACAATATTTACGTAATTTATAGGGTGCAAGGCTGGGGGATGGGGAGGGCGAGATGAATACATTCACATGCATTAAACTAAATTCTTGGTTTGGGATCTTCACTGCAGTCTTCGGCACTACATTTGTATTCTCGTTTTATTATGCAGTCTTTCCTAGTGTTGCATCGTGTGCAAAATGTGATAAATCCATGCTTTGTTCTTAACTAAGTGGTTGATAAGAGTGTTACCCAAACAGATCGAAAGACAGAGCCCTACGGGAAACCGCTAGAGACCTCCATCTCTTCACTGATCTCTTCTTGAGTGTTTGACTTAACGATTGCACTTAACTCTATTACCATTACACCTGTCTTTTTCCATCTTGTTCATAAAGACGCTGTGCCAAAATCAATATGTGCTTTTTCTGCTTCAATCTCTTGTGGGTAAAAAGTACTTGATCTGGAATTATTCCTTCTTAGAGAGAGAGAGAGAAAGCAGTCTTACATAATCACGGGATTCGGTGCTAGCCCCTCCCACCATGCCCCAGAGCTCAGGGGCGGAGGAGCTACATGGGCTTGTCAGAGTTTTGTTTGTTCGTTTCTTTTTGAGTTGATAATAATCCCGCAGGACTGTTAGACAGTAATATGGAAGGGAGCCTGACCTAGAAGCAGCTGGTACACACGTGGTAACCAAATCCCATCAAAGTTTCACCTTCTTTTCTTTTCTAATTTTTTTTAACGTCTATTTATTTTTTGAGAGAGAGACAGAGTGAGAGCAGGGGACGGGCAGAGAGAGAGGGAGATACATAATCCAAAGTGGGCTCCAGGCTCTGAGCTGTCAGCACAGAGCCTGACGCGGGGCTCCAACTCACAAACCGCGAGGTCATGACCTGAGCCGGAATCGGACGCTTATTAACCAGTTGACCCACCCAGGCGCCCTCACCTTCTTTCCTGTTGAAGATCAATCATCGTGTTTGCATCTGGTGCTCGAGACACGTGGGTCAGGTCATGACTAGAACTATTGCTTTCAGAGGTTTCTCAAGTGCTGCCTCAGAAATGTGCCCTCAGGACCCACACGGGAGTGAAAGACTCCAGAGTGCTGGGACAAACCCCCTGCGGGCTGAGGGGACAGATACCGCCACACAACCAGGAGCATCGGAGGCGCTGGGGACGGGTTTTGACTCAATATGGGAGTCCGGGAAGAGGAAGGATGGCCACGCCGCCAGGGCAGATGATGAGCTCTGCCTTGTCTTACAAATCCTCCTCTTACAGGCTACTTTCCCAAGAGGCAACTGTCCCTTTGGCCTGGGCCTTGGCAGGGAGTGACCTGGGGTTAGCCACACACGCCCATGTTCAGCCCCTCCTTCTCTCTACAGCTTGCACAAGGAGGGAAGAGGAGACACTAGCAGGGAAGTCAGGGGAAGAAAAGGCAATTCGGGAGGCAAAGGAAAATGAGATGGAAGCTTCAAATAGAGGGTGACTTGGCCGTTTTACTGGCTTCTTTATTCAAACACGCACTTTGGGGGGGGGGGTGCGGAGAGCGGGCAGGGGAGGGTCTAAAACTGACCACGCAAGTGCTGGCAGTAGACAGAACGCAGAACCCGAAATCTGGCCCCGGTCATATTGACTCCATTAGGCCCAAGTTCTCTCCTCTGTAAGACGAAGGCCATGCAGCACCCACTGAAGAAGTTCTGTGACCTCGAACGCCAACATTATAGGCTCTGGAGTGTTTCCTTCTGAAGGGTTCAGAGAGTGCCAGCCGTGTGCAGGTGGCGGAAGTGAGGGTCGGGCACCGACACCCAGCCGCACAGACCCCTCTGCATACCTGGAAGGTCCTGAAGCCACGGGGAGGGGGAGGCGGGACAAAGCGTTGTCCGCCCTGCTCGGAAGGGATTCCAGGAGATGGCCCCAGGCGGGACCGTCGCACGGGCAAAGCTCTCCCAGACCCGGGTGTCAGCAGTCCACACTTGGGAAAGACGTGTCTCGCTCACCGGTTCCAAAATAATTCCACGCTGGGACGGTGGCAAACCTGCAAAGCCCCGATAGCAACCGGAGGAAGTGGGCCAGGAAGGAAAAGATCAGCTGCGCACAGCTCGGTTCTCAGCAATAACGACAAGGAGAGAAACGAAGGAAGGAACCCCAGAACGCATGGGGGCGGGGCGCGGAGGGCTGTGCTTTACTGCTGCATTTCCAGGGCCAGGCTGTACTCTTTGTTTTGGCACCCGTTCCCTGACAAAAAGCCAATGTTCTCACCACATAAATACTCGTCGACATTAATAACAACAGCATCTGAGACTGTTATCTGTAAAGATGCCAGATCGCATGCAAATGGGCTGCAAATACCTTGGAGAGTGTCACAAAAATAAGGCGCCGGGCAATGAACGTCCGGCAGAGGACATGGGTCATTTAGCGACGATGGGAGGGAGGACACGAACGGCACAGACATGCAAGCCCCTTAAAATGGGGCATTTGCCTCAAGCCCACAGAACGCCTCGGGCTCTGCCTCCGCGCCCCTCGCTCCCTGAGGCTGATCCCCGAGGTTTTACCGCCACCAAGTGGAAACACGGAGTATGGCAGCAGCGGAACAGCCTCCGCCTGAAGCCAGAGGCAGAGACTGGCTCTATTTCTCATCTGACGGTGAAAGATGAGAGGAAGGTTGTTGAGCTTCATTTCATTGTCACCCATTTAGTTCAAAGGAGATGCCATTTTGGTTCCCAGCCATCCATCAACTGGCATCACGGGAGGACTAGGCTGGGCTAAATTTGCACATTCTATTTCAGCCCCGGGGAGATGGAGACCTACGGGAAGTCTTTGAAACCCTCGTATTCAATACCGTAGTAGTTGTCAGGTACCCCAGCTTCCGGTTCCTGTGACGTCCCTATTTTAACAGAAGAGTTTAATTATGTCCTGAACACGTGAGACCTGAAGACAGGGTAGCAGCCACAGACGGGGTCTGACAAAGGCTGTTCGAAGGGGGAGCATTTATCTACCTCCCGGCAGGAAACAAGAATTCAGTGAGGTGATGCTCTCCTTGCCCAAAGTCTGTACTTCTTGGGAGAGAAGCCAGCAATGGGCGCCATTTCCGTGTTTTCTCCTGTTTTTGAAGAGGTTGACTTGAGGAGTGCGGTCATGGGGGTACCAAGAGCCTGGCAGATCCTGGTCCCCAACGAAAAAGCAGATTCTGTGGCTTTGCCTTTCACGCCACCCCCTTTGCTTGGTTGACGGGCTAACAACCAGAGGAGGAAAGAGAAGACGGAAGGGAATATGTATTTCTTGAGTACCTACACACCATGGCAGGTAACACACGTGAAATTATATTGTCTTCGCCTGACAACAGCCTCGCTGAGTCAGGGCCTCTCAAGAAAGATTAGAATGGTCTAGAAGGATCCTCCTCATTATTTGTAATTCTCCCTTTTCAATATAAAACTAGGCTAATGTGAGTACAAAGCCATGTGGGAAACCAAATCTTTGTGGAATGTAAGCATCCTTAATTCATAGTGTCATTAATTCTCCAACCTAACCTCACCTCTTCCCACACGGGGTTGTTCCTTTTGATGGAAAACAGCATCAGGCTCTTAGGAGGTGCCTCCCAAACTCAGCTATGAATGTCTAAGCCATTCCATTTCTGTACATGGGGATTTACGTTCTCCTCCACCAAAGAGTGTTTCCTATTGCCCCGTCCCACAGAGCTGTTTCTAGGATTAACTAAATGATAATTGTTAGTCACTATGCCTTTTCCAAGGGCTGTCATGAACCGGTTGTGTCAAAAAGGGATCTGAATTTATCCCCTCCTACAATTAAACCTCCTGTGATCGTGACGCTGGCCTTGAGGTCCCCTCCCTGTCCTATCAGGACCACCAAAGCCCATCCCGAGGTTATCACTCTTCTGCCCTCTTGGGGCAAAACCTCAGGGTCCGTGACCCCTCTTGGCTCCCCCTCTCACCCTTGCCTCTCACCCCCTGGAACCGAACCTTGAACTTCGGCTCCGTGTCTTCAGCTCCATGTGAAGAAGACAAGAGCCTACCACGTCCCCTTCAGGTCCAGCCGCCATGAAAGAGTTGCCACCGCATCTTTATTGCATCTCCAAGTGAGGAACAGTGAATAACTTATTATACAAGGAACTCTCTCCTTTTGAGGACAACGCCCACTTACGGAACACAGGTGGTGACCGCAGCGCGAAGCTATTTACAGAAGCTGAGGAGCAAGGGGCTGAGGGAAGGGATGATTCTCCCGGCAAAGAGAAATCGGGGTCCTCCCTGCTAGTGAGATACAGAAGAGGGACCTCTGGTAAAGGGGAGCTTCAGTCTGGGGGTGGACAGCATGTTTGGGAGTGGTGACCTGTGAACTGGTGCTGGGGACCCACAGGGGCCCTGTGGTAGCACCAGAGAGACGAGAACGTTTAGTGTGACCTTCAGCCTCTCCCCCCCAGGCAAGGAGGGAGGGTGCCAGCAAGTTGGCTTCCAGGGTGGATTTCGGCAGGGACAGGCCTTGGCTGTGTTTGCTCAGATTTGCTGTCCTGCTCCGGGCCAAGCGGTCCTCGCAAAACCAGCCTTGAGTTAGAAGAACTGGTCTCCTCCAGCCAGTAAGCGGTCAGACGACCAGAGCTCTCACCACTTGGGAAGTGACTGGGCACAGCGAGGGGCACACCCTGAGTTTGCCTGCGACTCCCTCCCACTCAGAAGTCGGGTCCTAAGTATGGGACACAGGAAAACCCTGGAGCGCTGGGACCCGCCGTCCTGTTAGCCCCCAGCAACTCCAGAAGCGAAGGGAAGCTCTTCCCAAAGGGTTCGGTACAGTTTCCTTAGGCGGCTCCGGGTGTAGCCCCCCGCCCTTTGACCTCCCCCCTGGTTGGCTGACTTGCTGTGTTCGCCCCGCTCTTCCGAACAGCTAACTGCCGCCTGTCCTTCCTTCATAGCCATTGTAAGGGCTAGTTCGAGTCTGGGCCCGCGGAATGGAGAAATCCTTCGGGGAGGTCCGATTCTGAAAAGGAAGCAACCGGATGGTTAAACCCACTCCAATTCCCAGGTATTTCCACAGAGCTCCAATCTGGGCGGGAATCTAACCCTCCCCCTGAGGCCCTGCATTCCCGAGTCCTGCGCTAACCCGTGAGGCAGATCATGGGGAGAGGAGACATGTTACCCTTTCAAGGTGGCCTTCCAGGGGCCATGACAATGGCTACGGCCTGTGTTCCCAAAGGTCAGACATTCCGGGGGGGGGGGGGGGGGGGGGGGGGGGGGCAGGTAACGCTGCTGATGTAAAAGGAGAAAGAAACCATTTACCTGCAGCTGAAAATGGGTGGCGTAAGGAGCATAGAGCGTATCGCCTAGCTCTTCAAGGCCTGGAAGAGAGGGAGGGGGGGTTACAGCATTACCCCACCACCGCCTGCACCGTGCTCACCTCAGTACAGTCATGTATCCAAGCAGCCATCCCCCCAGTAGACCGCGAGTTGTATGGGGGGAGAGTCTGTCCCAAGCCCAGGGCCGGACACAAAGCAAGCACAATATTGGTTGAATAAATGAATAACCACCAACACAGGGTCACTAGGGAAGCGCCTTTCCAAAAACCTTCCCTGGCGGTGCACCTCAATCCCGGACCTCTTCAAAAGCACACTTGAAACAAGTCTTTTCAGATACAGAGCTGTCCCGGGGTGTCTGTTACCTAGAGTGAAGCTCACTACGGATTTACCCAAGAAAAACCATTTTTATTACTTTCTTTGGGAGGGGGCAGAACTGATGAGCAATTGTTTTCTAGGTATTTGGGGAACACGAGAGGGATGTAAACTCTGGAAAAGAAGAGTAAATGCACACAATTGTCGTGAATACAATTTAAAGCAACCCATTCGCCTGTTTCAGCTTACTGAAATTTCCCACCTAATTTACCCATTCAGTTTACTCCATGAACACCTCAAACACGTTCTCTGCGTTACTGCGGAGAATATGAGGATTAAGCAGACGGACTCCTGGCCGGAGGCTGGCACTGGAGAGCAAAGGATAGATGACGGCTACACAAATAGCTATGAAATGAGACAGACTCTGATAAGAGCATTTCAAAGTTCTACAGCGGGTAGGAGGGGTGGATAATGAGACTGGGCAACGTGTGCTCTGGAAAAGGTCAAGAGCAGGGCAGAAGGACATGCCTGGCGCCTGGACACACAGGCAGGGAACGGCACTGGGCGACTTGGTTTGTTTGGACTGAGGGCACAGCTTCCGTGGTTGTGGGGGTCTCGCTGGGAAAAGCCTCCCCGAGTAAATGCTGACCCGAGAGAGCCAGCGACGTATGCGAGCAGGAGATGTGGTAGCCAGGGAAGTATTTTAGGGGAGAGGAAGTGGACGGTGGCCTATAAAATGAATGGAAAGGAGGAGGAAAGGGAGGACTCGTAGCTAGGGGATGATAACAGGGAGTCGAGGAGCGCGGTGACAGAGTGACACCATGAGAATGGACAGGGGTGGATGGGTGCTAAAATGTCCCTCCCAGTCATCCCTGTTCCCCTTTGGTCTTCCAAGTGCCCAGGAGAGGAATCACAGTACTGTGAGAAGCACCAGGAGGCTTTGCACCTTGGGCTTCGAAAGCAGAGAAAACTGTTCGCTGCACCTAAGAACCAAGCCTTAGAGGCCCCTCGCTCCTGCCCCAAACCCATGCCCCCCAGAGATCAGTGTGTGAATCGATCCCTAGGACAAGGGCAGCCTCTAGCTATCAGCGTAGCCTCTTTTGGTTGTGAGAACAACAGAACACCTGGTGACTCATGACTTCAGGCAAGAGCAAAACCATTTGATTCTTTTATGTCAGGTACAATCTTCCCTCCCATGGGCCCAGAGACACACAGTAAGATGTGCCTGTGCAGGATAAATCAGAACTGTCAGTAACTTTATGGAGATTCCTGCTGGTTTGGGGTGAAAGGGCTTTCTCGCTCCCGCAAGGAATCATGGCTTGGCTTTCTGCATTCAAATCGATAAAGGCTTCATATTTCCAGAAGGAATGCCTAGCTATCTTCCATAAAGAACACAATCTCGCCTACTAGTCTCCAGGGATTTTTCTAATCATTCCTTTGCTCCATCTTATTTTGACTCAGAGAAACCCACGGGGTATCGTGTAGAAAGTACTAGATTAAGACTCCGGAGGCCAGCTTCTAGTTCTACTAGAACTCTAACCGGCTGGATGACCTTAAGCAAGATCTGAGCCTGTCTTGGGGACCCTGTCTATTCTGTCAGGGGTACGACCTGGATAATCTTGACTGTTCCTTAAGGTTACAATATCCTAGGATTCTCCCTAGTCATTCTACAAGAGGTTCTCACCCAGCCATGCTGTGTACCTTGAGTGATCTCCTCTTGAGAGTAGGCTCTGTTCTCCACACCATAGCTCTGCTTCATGAGCTGAGGTTTACAAAATGCATCCTCAACAGGGTAATCCATGGGGTTCCGTTGCTTCGTGAGCTGCTGAAACTCGGGCGCAACATAAGCCAACAGGAAGACCCAGCCATTGGCAACCAAGGCTGAGCTCAGGATGGTATCGTCCCACTCGGGGCCAACGGCAGAAATCAGGAGCAAAGTGATCCAAGTCACCCAGATGGCAATGGAGAGAACCATGGTGAGGAAGATGTGGACCCCGTGTCTCTTCCAGCCGGTGAAGGATCCACAGAAGATGAAGCAGGACGTGAGGAAGGTCAATGCCATCAAGAAGAGAACGTAGATGAGCAAGAGGACAAAGTCTTCGTTGCGCCGAGAGGCAGAAAGCTCAGAGAAGATGGCAACATTGGTCCTGTTCATGGTGAGGACGAGGTACTCAATAGCAATGACGTCCTGCACCAGGCTGCAGCCCACGGCCAGGCCCAGCATCACCAGCAAGGACAGGGGCTTCCACCCACGCACCAGCTTCATCAGGTTGAAAGCGTGAGCCAGGAGGCAGGAGAAGCAGAGGGAGAAGAGGACGCCGAAGAGGAAGAAGCGGGTGGGCCCCGTGCTGCCATCAAGTTGGATGATGAAAGCAAAGGTGAGGCCGAAGACACCCAGCACGCCCAGCAGGAAGAGAAACTGGGTCGGGAGCGCTTTCCGCCTGTTGGAGTCCTGCACCCTGCAGACGAGGGTCAGGAGACCGAGCATGAAGGCCACCGAAGTCACGGCCCCCACTGCAGCCACCGCTTCTAGGACGATGCCCCAGATTTGAGTGGTGTCACAAAGTCTGTGGTACTTGGCCTCCAGGCTTGAGCGGCAACCCTTAGGGGATGCTGTGGCCATTCTGGTCCTGCATAAAAGCAAAGTTGGAGGGAAGGGAGGTGAGTCTCCTAATGGGCGGCCACAGGGGACCCGAAAGATTAGGAAAACCTTTTGTATATTTGGCCAGGGTTTTGCCTCTGAACTTGCTACATTAGATGAAGCTACTAACTTTTCTCCACCTCTCGTGGCAAATTCTAAAAACTGATGGAGGAAAAAACCAAGCCTCCCTACAATTAAACTCTACTAATATGTACCCTGAAGGCAGGGGATCGGTGCCCCGCTGAGGAATTTCAGGGTCTCATTTCGAAAAATATGTCACAAATACCTTGCCAAGCTTCCTGATACTTGTGGCTAGTATTTTCTCAGGAATTATTGAACATGGAAATCTCTGAGCTTAAAGGTTTAATCGTAATTTATCAGTCTCAAGGTCTTCTCCACCTTTGCCTCTGTTCCAGACATTTGTAAGCATCTCATTCTTTCACGGTGAAGAGGCGTTATCTGAACTGCAGATTTCTCTACAGAAAGAGAAGATGGACTTCACTACAACCAGATCCTCAATTTCAGCTCTGCTGTCACATATTAGAAGGGTTTTCCCCCGCCTCAAGGTTTATAAGGACGGCTCTACTCATTCCAAAAGGTGACAGAAAGAGTCTTCTCTGTCAGAAAGAGTTCTTTAGTAACTATCTCGAAGGAGAGAAGTCTTGGAGGACACAAAAACACAGTGGATAATCCGATGAAAAATATTACGAATGCTCATTTTCACTGTGGATCAGAAACTCTTCTAATCACCTTTCATATATACTAGTTCAATTTCAAAGCAGTTCTATGAGCTAAAAAAAAAAAATAAAAAAAAAAAAATTAGCCCTATATCACCGATGAGAAAACTGAGTCAGAGACAGGTCAAGTTACTTGCCCAACATCATACAGGGAAGAAATGGCAGAAGCAGAATTTGAATATAGGTCAAATTCAAATTCTAGGATCCATGCTCCCAACTACTGCAGGTACCACCTCTCAAGTGAGTTCTAGTTGGCCTTCAATGCAATCTGACATATTCTCATTTTCTCTGTCTCTCTCTTACATCCTCCCCTTTTTCTTCCTCATTAGATGCCCCATAAACCAGCTCTGTTTATGGTCTTGATTCCACTTAGTTCAGCCCCACACAGGCTAGGCGCTCCTGGGGGAAAGATGATCCACAAAGCAGGTAATCTGCTTTGGACTCAAGGACAATCAGAGTTGACTGGCTATATAGCAGATTACTTCCTATGTATCTCTCCTTGATCTCCCAGGTCTGCTTCCTTCTCTGCTCCCACAACCTTCATGTCAATTTCAGACCCAGCGGATTCTCCAAACCCCATGAAATCTAATTCCTAAGAATTCGGGGCACTCTGGGAAGATAAATTGGGAAATCGGAAGAGAGAAGGAGTTTGTACATTTCCCCAAAATGTATGGCTCTCAAACTCCAAAGTCAATGTCAGGTAAGATGTTGAAATTCAAAAGTGCTAAGGCTTTAAAGTTTATCAACAAGCTTTTTTTCTGAATTACCTGGCTGTTTATTAGTTTCTAAGACACCGTTACTTTTGTTTTGTTGTATGCTATCTGTGCATGATTTGTTGTTGTTGTTGTTTTGGGTTTAGTTTTTCTTTTCCTGATAGGATTGCTCACTCAACAGTGAAGAGTCCTGAACTGACTAGAAGAGAAATATGGTTAGGGCAGGGGGCAGCGAGCAAGGGAAAGAGGTAGGGGAAGGGAAAGCTCACTGAGAACCCCTCCACAGAAAATCACCAGTGAAAGATCTCAGTTTCCTGTAATGCCAAATAGGGAGAGACTGTGAAGAAAGGAATTGAAAGAAACAAAACCACTGGGATCAGGAAGCAGGAAACGGTATAAAATATCTGCCAGATCCTGCTTCTTTCCTTGTAGCAGAAGAAACAGCTCAGAATTTCATCACCACATGCCCATACACGCTTATAGACAAGACTTCTCTGGCCCTTCATGGGTCTATGGGATGTTGTGATCAACCCAGCAGAAAACCACCACCCTCCCTTCTTCCATCATATGTCTTCATGATCAAACCACAAGTCAGAGAACAGCACAGCGGGATACAGAGCAGGCCACTCTTCACTGACTGTCCAGGGCAAATGAGCATCTTACTCAGTGTAGACAGAATTCAAACACCTGCTCCCCTTAAAGATAACAAAATCTGGGGGTGCCTGGGTAGCTCAGCCGGTTGAGCATCTGACTCTTGATTTCAGCTCAGGTCATGATCCCAGGGTCATAGGATCAAGCCCCACATCAGGCTCCATACTGATTGTGGAGCCTGCTTGAGAGTCTCTCTCTCTCTCTCTCTCTCTCTCTCTCTCTCTCAGCCCTCTCTTCCACTTGCATTTTTTCTCTCTCTAAAAATAAATAAAAATGAAAAAATAAAATAATATTTTAAAAAGATATAAAATCTGCATTTCAATTAGATGAGACAGGACTCGCCCTAGCATTGTTTTATTCACATAGCAGTTGGGGGGAAAAATTGTATGTGTGTGTATATATGTGTGTGTGTGTGTGTGTGTGTGTGTGTGTATTATATATATATATGTGTGTATATATATATGCAATATAACATATTTATGTATGTGAATATTATGTATATGTTAGAATAATATAGGTGTGGTGTGTTAGAATAAAATAACGTAAGTAATTCACCTAAGTAAGTTACAGCTTAAATCTATCTTCCTAACTTTTTCATGAAATCTGGCTCACCAAGCCTAACTTTGTATTGTACACTCGAGTAGTATTTCCTGAGCACCACCAAGCACCAATCGCTATTCCAGGCAGTCAGTGGTAAAGGGGGAAGCAGAAGAGACAGACAGACGTAACCTGCCACTACTGCCACAGGCTTCCCGTGGCCTTTCCTCACCAGGGGTCTGACACTGCACTCTGCCCCACGGAAATTACACCGCAGTCACCCCTACTGCGCAGAGCACAGAGCAAAGCGTGGGTCACGTTCTACCTCTTCAGGGCAGTGCAGAATGAGAAACAGGAGCAAGAAGGAAGGCGACTGAGCTTAGATACAGGCAACTACTGAAATACAAGGACCTGAAGTCTGATCTGCCTTGCGTACGAATGTCCACTCCGCGGTGGTAGGGGGTAGGCGTGCAGACAGCGCTTGCTGGTCCACACCGTGAATACGGAAGAGGAAGTACCCCCGTTGAGTTCAAACACGGTGCGCACAAGGGAAGGGACCCAGGCCGGGCGCATCTCATCCTCCCTCACCTTCTCCCCTCCTCTGGATCAGTCAGAAGGGCGGTGTCCAGCAAGAAAGGTACCTCACCCTCCCCACCCTGCCCTGCAACTGTCCCTTCCCCACCTTTCAAGAGGAGTCATCATAATCACAGAAAAACTATAAAGGACTTTGGGCCTGATGAGGTCTTGTCAGAGACCCGACGAGGCGTTTGCCTGAAGGGCGCCTGTGGTGCTGGACAGAGGAGCAGTGAGGCGGAAACCTCCTGCCCCCAGCTTGGAGCCCCAGGCCCTTCCTTTCTGGTGGCAGCTGAGGGGGGTGAGGGAGGGTGGGTAGGGAGGTGTTGTATGGGGGTCTCCTGGCCTCCACAGACCAGGGTCCTACAAGAGCAATGGGCCATGGGTGTGGAGAGGGCAGGAAACCCAATGTCCCTCAACTTCACCTCTACCTCCCACCCCCAATCATGCATGGGAGATGGAGAAACAGTCCCTGGAGCGCCTTTAAAACACTGCTTTTAAAGAAATGTTGAAATTGTCAAGCATACTCACAAATAAAGAATAATATGGTGGAGGCCCCTTGGACTCATCACTTGGTTTCACAAATTACCAATATATGGCCAAGTTCGCTTCGTCTACATCCCCACCTCACTCACTAGATTTTTTCTTAAGTTTAATTATTTACTTTGGAGGAGCGGGGAGAGTAGGGGCAGAGAGACAGAGGGAGAGAGAGAACTCCAGATAGGCTCTTTGCTGTGAGCTCAGAGCCCAACGTGGGGCTCGAACACACAAACCCTGAGGTCATGACCCGAGCTGAAATCAAGAGTCAGACACTTAACCAACTGACTCACCCAGGTGCCCCTCACTAGATTTGTAAAATTTTTATCTATCCATTTATTTTAAGGTAGGCTCTACATCCAGCATGGGGCTTGAACCCCCAACCCTGAGAACAAGAGTCCCATGATCTACTGACCTGAGCCAGCCAGGCACCCCTCGCTAGATTAGTTTTAAGCAAACCGCAGACATCATATCCTTTTATACTTAAACACTTCACGTATCTCAAAAAGATGAAACTCCTTTTTAACTTAACCACGTTTTAAAAATTAACAATAACCCTTTGATATCAACTATCCAGTTAGGGTTCATATTTCCCAACTCTGTCACAACTGTCTTTTTAAAATTTTTCTTAGTAAATACGCATTTATCTGAGTGACTAAGTTTTTTGGAATTATCCTCACTTCACCTCTGTGAGCCCTCCCCCACCTCTTCCCCCGCACGACAGGCGCTGCACAATGGGTCTAAAGTGTCCTAAGTACTTTGAATTTGGTCAGAGGAAAATAAAACTCACTGGACCCATTAACAAGCAGCTCTGTACGGAGAAGGCGCCGTGTCACCCAGGGAGTGGCTCAGATGAGGAAAAGACACCAGGAAGGCGACTGGGGGAAAGGACAGGGTTCTGAGAAGCTATAGAAGACTTCTAGAAAGCAAGGCTTGAGGGGACAAGGGGAACAATAAGCATTTGGGAATATAAAGTGCTAAGGAGCTAGAGAAACTAGCCTTGGAGAGGAAACTCAGGGCTGGAGCAAGAAAGGAGAAAATGAAATGAGACCAGGGGTTACCCGGCCATCGTTTGTAACCCAAGTCAGGAGAGATTTGGGGTCCCGTCAAGAAAAGACTACCTCCTACAAAGACCAAATGGGGGCTGCAGGAAGTCATTCCTCTTGGACAGCTCTGAACGGGGAGAGAAAGTCTCACCGCTAACTCATTCTCGGCATGGGTGAGGCATGCTCTTAGGCGCT